CACATAAGTGCAAATATTCTTTTTGCTGCTGTTGTTTGAAACCGTCTTCGAAGTGGCTCTTGCAAAAAAACCAGCCACAGACGGAGCTTCCGCCAGGGAGGCTAAGCAGGAAAAAAAGAGGGTTTGGGCGTTCTGAGGCCCCGAAGGGCCCCCTTTTTTTCCTGAATGCGCTATAAATACACCCCTTCCAGCAGCCCTCCTTTCCCTCTGCCAGCGAGGCCAAGCCGGAGCGGAAGGAGGTGACCTCTCCCGGGGACGTTTCCTTTCCAGTTTTATTCCCGACCTTATAAAAAGGCCTTCCTCCGGCCGGGTCGGCTTTGAGGCTGGTTCTCGAAGCGCCGGGGCTCCTCCAGAAGAGGGGCTGGAGAGTGGGTGCCCGGCTGGCGCCCTGGACCCCTCTCCCCGGCCGCACCTGCGGGCAGGAGCAGCCCCCACTTCGCGCCACCCGTGGTGAGGGGCTCCACGGAGGTCCCTGCAGGACAGGGGTGAGTGGGGGGAAAGGGTCCCTTCCCTGCATCCGTTGGCATGGAAGGAGTCCGGTCCAGAAGCGGGAGGGCTGGCTTCTTGCCTATGATGGAACGGCCTCTCGGGCTGAGCTCGGACGGGCCCGAGGACCATGGGAGGTGTTGTCCAAAAAAAGAAAAAAGAGGAACTTTTGGGGAGCTGGTATCTAGGGAGACAGGTGTGGACAAAAACCAGCCGCTTGGCTTCTTTCTTCCCTAAATGATGGATAATATACGTATTTGTAGCTGAAAGAGGTTGCGGTGTCAGGCTGTTTCAGCCTGCCTATAAAAAATGCTAAATTTTCTGCCTCCTTCAAGACCAAGCGGCTGATTTCAGCGTGAGCGTTTATGGGTCACTCACAATTACAAACGAATCTCTTGGGTCTTCAAAACAGTGCAATCCATTTGTGTGTTTTTTTCTCCTTTTGGTTTTTATGATGCATGCCTATGGCTTTGTATTTTGGCGTTCACCCTGAATCCTTGCCCTTACCTGCTCTTCGAACGCTCGAGATGAGAGAGGATGATGAAATCTGAAACAGCATTTCAGACCAGCCTCGGCGGAAGCAGGAGCCGGACCGCCAAGCGGGCTCCCTGCTTCGTTCCGGCTGGCCGGTTTCGACCAAAGGAATATTTTTTAAAAAAACCAACGACAACTTTTACACTACAGTATTTTTAAAATGATCTATTTGGGCATTAACGAAATGCGAAGAGCAATGTCTTAGAGGGTTTTAAATATTATTTTTAACAACAATAACGGGTTGGGTAGAAGGCAAGTGTGAATTACAGGCGGCTCATCATGACATGTATCACCCAGATTATATTTTTTCCTAGAGGATTAAAAAAATAGAGACGCATCAAGACTTTTTGATAAAATCTCATCTTCTTGAAACAGGCAAAGGAACACGGTGTTTTTGAGCATCGCTGGCCTCTTCCACGGTAAACCAATGCTGGCGTTGTTTTGATAGGCTGAGATGATGTGGTGTTAAGCCCAGAGTTCGGGGAGAATCTTTTTAAAAGATTTCAGTTCCCAGAATCCTTTAGCCACCCTTGGCTGGGGGATTCTGGGAAGTGTAGTGTTTTTTAAAAGGAAAATTATCCTCTGGTTCATCTGGGTCTGAGAGTCAAGGTTTATAGACCAGAAGACTGGAGAGTTCGTGGGTGGAGATATTCCTTGGTGGCCTTATTCCAAGCCACACGGTCGGTCGGTTCCTCGAGCCACAGCCCTCGGAATCAAAGGGGAGACCACACCTTATTACTGTACTTTGTTGTTACTTTGAGTTGCTGATGTTTTGTTATTGCAGTTGCCGTTGTTGTGATGTGCCAACAAGTCACATCAGACTTAACTGTATTTTTCAGTGTATAAGACTATACTTTTGTCTAAAATCTTTAGACTAACAATTGAGCGTCATCTTATACACGGAAGTAACTGAGGAGAGAACAAAAACAAGTGAAGGGGAAAGCAGGGATCAAAGCGATCATGTAGCACTTTGATCCCTTTCCCCCTGCACTTGCTAAGCCCCACTTAGATTTCTGAATTTAAAAACTTAAAAAGTGGGGGGGGGCGTCTTATACACGGAAAAACACGGGTATGTCCTGTCCTCAACCGCCCTGCTCAGCTCTTGCAAACTCAAAAGTTGTGACTTCCTTGAAGGAGTCCGTCCATCTCGTATTGCGTCTTCCTCTTTTCCTGCTGCTTTCCACCTTTCCCGGCATTCTTGTCTTTTCCAGAGAATCAATTTTTTCCCCCGTCCGCTTTTTTTATGGTACAGCTTTCACGCCCATATGAGGAGACTGGAAAGACCAGAGGGTGAATGATCTTTTGGATTGAGAAAAGAATGATGTAAAACTTGAAAACGTTCTGCCAAAAATGTGGTTCAAAAGTAACGCCAATCATCTCACCTCTTTGGGACCTGTCATCATTTCTTTTACAAAAGGTCACTTCCCCTGGAAATTTTCCATTGTCACTTTGAGGGAACTGAAATCGGTTGGCATTCCAGTGGGACCCACTGGAAAATGTCACGCAGAACTTTGTAATTTCAAATTGAAGTTTCGGAACCGAAAAGTAATTTGGAAATGAAAATTCGCTGCAGCCTGCTTTTTTCCCCCTGAGCGGTCACTTGTGACAAGCAGCAACGTGGCCCGCTATTTCCGAGTGCCGGGCAGGATGTGCTTCCTACCCCCAGCGGCTTGAAGCCTTAACCATTTCCCACCCCACCCCCCGTCTCCATTTCTGATCTCGCAGGCATAATGGCCGGGCTGGGCAACTCAAGCTTCGTCCGTGAATTCACCCGCCACTCCAGCGACGTTCTGATGAATCTCAACGAGCTGCGGAAGCGACACCTTCTCACCGACGTCACCTTGCGAGTCAGGGGGTTCCCTCTGCAAGCCCACAAAGCGGTCCTTACAGCCTGCAGGTGAGCGGTTCTTGTTTCTGGCGGTGGAAGTGCGTGGAACACCGCACAGCCCATGGCATGGTGAGACTATTCATGGCACATGATACACACACACCCTCCGTAAAATCCTGGATGACAATATCAGGAGTGGCTCGGGAGACAACATCTGAGAAAATTACTTTTCGCCGACTACGGTTCCCATCATTTTCCTGCCAACATGGTCGTTTGGGGGATATGCTGGAGGTTGACATTTGAAAAAAAAAAGCAGCTTTCTGTGGTTCTGTGTCCCTTGTGGATGTGCCTCATGTCGTATAGTTTAGAATTGCTGGTTAAATTCTTGACCTGCACAGCAGAAGGACTCTCCATAGAGTAGAATAGCTTCAAGTTCCCGAGAATAGCCCACCTCTTTTCCCTCATGAACTGGCATTTATGGTTTTAATAACTCCCTCTGAGACATTAATAGTAGGAAAAAAACAAAAGGTTTTATTACTTGCCTTCAACAGATTAAATAGGAAACTGACACGCAGAACTGCTTTCAGCAAACAGATGTACGAGAGGGAAAGAAGGCATGAGCAGAGAGGCGGGGCTCCCTTCAGATTCAGAGAGAGGAAAGGAGTGATTGGTTACTGCAGGATAGATTGACACTCCGTCCAGCTCAGAAAGGTTCCTCCCAGCCACACCTACCTAAAGGCAGCCTGCAAGGTTGCCAAAACTCCCACACCAGGGACTATCCTTATGTAGATGGAAAGATGGGTTGCCTCAAATGCAGGGCTTGGGTGGAAGAATCATCCTCAAGAGTTGTGTGGTTTTTTTTAAGTCCAGGGGGCAGCCCTCAGGTCCGTTTGTCTGGGACACACCTGCTCTCTGGGGGGTTCGCTCTTTTTTGCTCTGCTGACGTACACGTGGAGGTGAACAGATTTGTATCACGGAGTCCTCAGTGCATTTTTGAAGCGCTGGTTTTGACTGGTGAATTCTATTCATTTACTTATTTTAGCCGAAGTAATTTTTACCATGTCTTTTCTCCTTTAAAAAGGACCCAAGGAGGTTTAGAAGACAAGGCTTAGAAGCTACAAACAGGGAGCATATAAATATTACAAAAGACTCAAACCAATTCCACCACCAGCAAAGCAAAAACAACTCTAAGAGCCCATTCAAAGCAACAAGGCGCAACCATCCATTAAAAAAAAACTCTGCCAGACAGCCAGTCACTCAGGGAAAAGTCCGCCTGAAGAGAAAAGGTCTTCTTTGCCTGCTTGCAGAAGGATGGCAAACATGGGACCCGCCTGGCCTCCAGTGGCAGGGAGTTCCACTGTCCCCGGGAGCAGCCACCATAGAGAAGGCCCTCTCTCCCATGTCCGAGACTGGAATGGCTTGCCACATGATCAGAAGGGATGTGTAGAGAGATCAGAACTGTTACTCGGGGGACGTTTACCTCCAGAGTCCCTTCGGCCAGTGGGGCCGCTCGCTACCCAGGGGATTCTGGGAGCTCTAGTCCCAAGGGACCACTCTCCCCATCTCTGGACGTGGTTCTCGGACACTGACGGCCTCTCTTTCTTCCCTCCCCCAGCGGATTCTTCTACTCCATCTTTCTGGGCCAAGGGGGTCATGAAGTGAGCGTCTTGACCTTGCCCAGCTCCATCGAGCCGGCCGGATTCCAGGCCCTCCTGGATTTCATGTACACGTCCCGCCTTCTCCTCACCCCGGGCACCGTGCCGGCCATCCTTGCTGCGGCGTCTTACTTGCAGATGGAGCACGTGGTGGAGAGCTGCCATCGCTTCATCCAAGCCAGGTACTCAGGAGAAAGTCAGACCCTTGGTCCAGACTGTTCTCGATGGACCCCCGCAGTGTTTTATTTCACGTTCAAGCAGGGAGCTGGGTGAGGGAGCCTCGGGGCACAGGGGCTCAACTGCAGCCCTGCAGCCAACACTCTGCTCACCCCCTGGGTTCAATCCCGGGTAGCCGGCTCAAGGTTTGCTCAGCCTTCCCGCCTTCCAAGGTCGGTAAATGGAGTACTTGGAGGGCAGGGAAGGCCACGTGTGTAGCCTGAATAATTAAATAACCGCCCAGAGAATGCTTTTAAGTGCCATGGGGTGGTATATAAGCAACACGCTTGTTGTTCGGTAATGGACCTAGAATTCTCTGCTGCGGTTCAGAGGTGGCTCTCTGGCACCGAATGCCCAGTCCCTCCCCAGAATCCAGGATTTCATGGGAGGAATCCCTAGCAGTTCAAATCCTGTCGAACTGCTAGAAACCCCATTTTAGAATCACTGAAGTGCGGAGTCAGAAAGTAATCAGAGATCATCTAGTCCAGCCTTGTGCTGTTACTGCGGGAACTCTCCAACTTTCGCAGGGACAGTCCTTGAATTTAATTATAGGATAATCTTAGAACTGCAAAGCTAAAAGGGATCTTATAGATCATCTTGTCCAGTCCCTGTCAAGGAAGCCCCACTGGGGGATCGAAATCCGAACCTCTGGCTCCACAGCCAGAAACCAAAAAGCCCTGAGATAATTTCTGTTTATTAGCGCAGAAATTCTGCTAATTTCTGAGCTAACTTCCAACACGGTGAGTCCGTCACATTCTCCGGCAGCCCTTCCCACTGTTGAACGAATTGTTATTACTTCTTGTTCGCTCTTCTTTCCTCCAGAAAATATCAGCCTGAGTTATCTCTCTCTGTCTCTCTCTTGATTCCTGCAGCTACGACCGGGTGACGTTCTTCTTGGCTCCTTCTGCGCCCCTCTTCCCGGGCCCTAAATTCCAGCCCCTGGGAGGAGAGGAAGCAAGATCGGCTGGCCCCCGTTGCCCTAACCCCACGCAAGAGGTGGATGCTGCTGCCACGGCCACGGGCTCCCTGCTTCCCCGATTCTCCTCGCCCAAAGACAAAGGATTGGGACCCGTGATGTCGCCAGGAACTGGGGACCAGTCTCCGCTGGGCCGGCCGGCCTCTCCTCGCGAGTCAAGCGGCTGTGCCCCGACCCCTGACCCCAAAGCCTGCAACTGGAAGAAGTACAAGTTCATCGTCCTCAACTCGCTGCTCCACGAGGGGCAGCCGGATACCCCTCCGTCGCTCGGCCGGTCCAGCGGATCCTGGCACAGCCGGGGCAAAACCCAGCCTCCACAGGTTAGAATGGGGTCGGGGGGGGGGTGTGACAGTTTCCAGGACCTTTTAAACCAGGCTTCATCCCTGCACCCATTGTTTTGGGGGTGGAGGAATCTCCTTGTCCTTTTTCCTGCTGTGGCCATAAGAACAGCAGCCGTAGATTACTTGGTGGGACCTCAAGAAGGGTTTCCCTTTGGGATAAATCATAGAAATGTAGAGTTAGAAGGGATCCGAGAGCTCATCTAGTCCACCCCTCCCTGGTTGTGCAGGAATCCTCTGCTGACGGGGTCCATAGCCCACCCAGCCTGTTAGTTGATGGAGGAGCCAGACTGTCAGGAGAGTGGCCAGCGCCGTCACCTAGAAATCCAGTGAGCTGTGAGCATTGTACTTATTCAATGCAGAGCTTAGAAAAGTTATAGATAACAGCTAGAATCCAAAAAGATGCGCATGAGCTGGGGCGGCTGAGGATTTTGAGCGTTGCTGTCCAAAAATTTAATGTTTTCATGCTCGGAATAAGAACTGCAAAAGATATCTCCTTAAGTACTTTCAGAAAATATTTGAAAGGTAGTTACCCAGAGGAAGGGCAGGATCTGTTCTCCATCATCCCAGAATGCAGGGGACCTCATTATGGGCTCAAGCGACAGGAAACCAGATTTCATCAGAGTATCACTGCTGAAAGTATGACTTTGTGTACTTTGGCTCAACGATCTCCGACACTCTCTGCTTAGATGTTGAGCTGGATAAACGCATTGGCAAAGCAGCCACCATGTTCTCTAGACTCACAAAGAGAGTATGGCTCAATAAGAAGCTGACGGCATATACTGAGATCCAGGTGTATAGAGCCTGTGTCCTGAGCACACTCCTGTCCTGCAGTGAGTCCTGGACCCTTTGTGCATGGCACGAGAGGAAGCTGAACACCTTCCATATGCGTTATCTCTGACGCATCTTTGGTATCACCTGGCAGGACAAAGTTCCAAATAGAGCAGTCCTAGAACAAGCTGGAATTTTTAGCATATATACATTACTGAAACAGCGACATCTACATTGGCTTGGGCACGTCGTGAGAATGGCTGATGGTTGGATTTAAAAGATCTCCTGGATGGAGAATTAGTGCAGGGAAACCACCCCAGATCAAGGAGATCTGCAAGTGGGATCTGAAGGCCTTAGGAATTGACCTCAACAGACGGGAAACCTTGACATCTGGGCATTCAGCCTGGAGACAGGCGTTGCATCACGGCCTCTCCCAATTTGAAGAGACCCTTGTCCAACAGGCCGAGGCCAAGAGGCTGTCCCGAAAGCAGCAAAATCAGGGATCTGGACAGGGGACTGACTGTCTTTGTCTTCAGTGTGGAAGGGATGGTCACTCTTGAATTGGCCTTCTTAGCCACACCAGACACTGTCCCAAGTCCTCCATACAGGATGCTTAAAATCAGGAAAAACTTATTAACTGTTAGAGCAGTACGACAACAGAACCCATGGCCTCGGGGGCAGGGGAGGTGGTGAGCACTCCAATGCTGGAGGTCATCAGGAGAAAATTGGACAACCCTCTGTCCGATCCACTTTGATTTGGATTCCTGCCTTGAAGCAGGGGGTTGGACTAGATGGCCTCAGAGGGCCCCTTCCAGCTCTGGTTTAGTGGCTTGCCTCGAGTACAAGTTCTCTGGCCTGGAGAAGCAAAGCCTGGATCCATCCTGATTCTGACTCAGCCCCGCTTTCCTGGTTTAGTAGCTTGTCTCAAGTGCCAAGTTCTCTGGCCCAGAGAAGCAAAGCCCGGATCCATCCTGACTTTGACTCAGCCCCGCTTTCCTCTCTCTCCCCAGGCCCAGGGCGCTCCCCGCGGCGACCCATTGCTCCGTCTGCCACCGGCCTCCCCCTGTGCTTTGCTCTCATCTTCCGGAGGATGTTGCCTCGGTGGTCCGGGAAGCCTCCTGTGATCCGGGTGAGTCACGTGAAGGAGAGCCAACCGGTGGGCAGCGGAGGAACGAGATGGAATGGCATGTCAACCTTTCGGAACAGGAGGCAAAGGAGAACTTGTACAAAGGGAAGGAAGACGACAAGGGAGGATGTCACAGGGAAACCCAGAGGGCCACATCCGGGCTCCCTCAGGGCTGGATTTGGCCCAGGGCGAAAGGTCTCCTACCCCTGGATTTGGCAGAACACACACACACCCGTTCTAACATTTAAAATAGGTATATTTATTATTTTACTGAGAAAGTCCCTCTGCATCCTCTTGGAGATTTGGGGGGCAATTTTGCCATGTCTTGACGGTCACCTAGCATCGCTGGACCCCCCCAGCACCCAAATTTTATTTTTTTTTAGGTTGGTCACTAGAGGGCACTCATGAGCTTTCTTGGGGAAATCCCCCATTTTTTCCTAAGGAGAAAAATGCCTTTTCTTTTTCCCTAAGGGAAAAACGGCGGAGGACTTTGTGAGTGTTTAAGACCCACCGACATTGCCCATCTCTGGCTCGGCATCCCGTCTGCAGAAGAGCCAGAGTTAGTCCAAGGCGTGCTGCTGGGTGTGCGGTCTGTGCATGCCTAGAGGCACTCAGGACATCGTCACTCCTGTTGGAGATAAGCCTGGCGAGGGCCTGGAAAAGGGGCTAGTCCTTAGTCCTTTGGAAAAGAAAAGTGATGCCTCCCCCCCCCACCCCAGGTTCTCTGGCAGTGCTTGTTTCTGAGAGATTCAGCCATATAACACCATACCAGGAGTGCCTCTAGGCATGCACAGAGTGTGCAGCCAGGCTAACTTCCAAAGGCTGGGAAAGGATGTGCGAGCCCCTTGTGCGCATTTTTTTGGCCCTCCAGGTGCGCCACCCTATAACGGTGGGACGTGTGACCCGCGATGCCATCAAGAGGAAGGAGGTGGCCGAGGGTCCCCGCTAGACACAGACGCATCCTCCGAGAAGCCCTTCCGGTGCCACGTCTGCCGCTCGGCCTTCCGCTGCAAGGGGCACCTGGCCGGCCACGGGTCTCTTCATGCAGGTGGGTTGGAACGTGAATGCACACCCACAAGCGAGCGAGCTAGCGCACAGGTGTCCCTGCTTCTCAATTCAGTTTGGGTTCGGAAGGAGAGAGGGACACCTCGGGCCGAATCCTGCTCTTCGGGCGGCTTCTGGCTAAGGAGGTGGTTCTTGAGGCCCACGAAAGGTTCAAAGAGGGACGCAGCGGATATTGTAGGCTGGCCCTACAGGAGTCATAAAGATGATGGGGGTATGATGATGATTATGATGATGAAGAACAGGAGCAAAAGGGGGTGACCCCTCTTCCTGCAAGCTGTGGGGGGGGATAGGTGTTGCTGGCGCCCCCCCCCCGCCCTCGGCATCTGCATTTGTTTGCACACTCCTGTCGCCCTTCTAGGGGAAAAGCCCTACCGCTGTGGGATTTGCGGCGCCCAGTTTAACCGGCCGGCCAACCTCAAGACCCACTTGCGCATCCACTCTGGGGAGAAGCCCTACAAGTGTGAGACGTGCGGCTCCCGGTTTGTGCAGGTAAAAAAAAATGGGGTGGAAGGAACCAAGTCCCTGAGCAGCCTGTAGTGAGGTGGGAAAGAAAGGGGGGGGGAGTGAAAGTGTTTGCTTTCTAGAAATAGGATCCATTCTAGAAATAGGATCCATTTCCAGATGACCAGGGTTCTAAATTTTGGATGTGTAGCTGAACATATTTACTTTGCCCAGGAAGCCATTGCTAGTCTGACCCTCTACACTTCCTTCCTTCCTTGCCTCCAGGTCGCCCACCTGCGAGCGCACGTCCTGATCCACACGGGAGAGAAGCCGTACCCCTGCGGGACGTGCGGGACGCGATTCCGGCATCTCCAGACCCTCAAAAGCCACATCCGGATTCACACGGGAGAGAAGCCTTATCACGTGAGCAGGGATCTGTGTTGGGGAGATTTTTAATGGATCGAAGAAGGGTGGGGGCCGGAGAGTTAAGACCCTGAGCTTCTGGGGCGGGGGTGTCTGTGAAAGGGATCTTCATTCCAGGTGCGCTCCCCCCATAGGCTGAAGACCTTTGTTACCCCTGAATACGCAGGACAATTTCACCTGGGCAGGGCAACCTAATGGTTATAAGCCACTCGAAAGGCTGGTTCCGGAGTCCTTGGAAAAGGGCAGGCCAGCTGATGGAGTGCTAGCAGGATGATAGCGAGGCCCAGGGGAGTCCTGAGTTCAAATCCAGATCTCTTAGTGTGGCACTCTAAACATTACGGCACAATGCCTTCCCGTCATGATGGGGAAGCCGGACTGTGCCACACGGGGATGCCCGAGGGGGGGCATAGTTGGTGCCCAGGAGGTCAAGATTTGACCTTACGTTCAAGGCCAGCCAACCGGGCTCTACGTCTTCCTCTTGACCATTAGCCATCCCTCTGACACCCTTCTGTTTCCAGCAGTGTGAGAAATGCAACGTCCGGTTCCGCCACAAGAGTCAGCTACGGCTTCACCTGCGGCAGAAACACGGCGCCGTCACCAACACGAAGATCCGCTATAAGGTGCTGGGGGGCCCTTACGCCACCCTCTGCTGAGCAGGGAGCGAAGGGGGCCCGGCTCGTGCCGAACCAAGAATCCCAGCGTCGTCAGAGACGGGGCGGAAAAAGCTCATCGCCTGCCTTGGAAATTCGCCTTCTTCTCTCCGGTGTTCGGCCTTTCTGTGTTTCCCAATTTGGGGCAATTTTTGCCCCGGGGACATGAGTGTTTTAGTTTTAAGCATCTCCTCTGTTCAAAAATATCCAGACTTTAGCCAGATTTTTTAAAAAAACACCCTCCTGTAAAAATCCCAGCACGTTTTGGAGCGTTTAAACGGAAATTTGCTTCCTATTCCATTCCAAGCTTCAGGAAAATAGGTGCCTGGGTTAGGAAGGAAGGAGAAAAGAGGGAGGGATGGAGGGAAGCATGTTTTCCCCACCCCCCCAAAGGAACGAGGAGTGGGGCCCCCTTTCTTGTGATCAGCACTTCGAATCCTGGGGACCAACCCACCAGGCCCCTTACCAGGGATGCTGGCACATCTTTGGGTCTGAGTTCCGAGTTCGAATGTGATCTTTGGTACAAGACCTGAGTTCCGTTTCTGAGTCCTTATGAAAAACAAGCTCCCACCCCCCCCCCAGAAAAAAGTGAGTGGGTGGGCAAATCATGAGTCGAGAGAAGAAGAAAAAACACGCTTGAGTCACTTGACGGCAAATTGCACAAATCAAAGTCCCCGTCCCTGGGTCCTACTCTTCTCTTAATGAGGGAGAAGTCATTCCGGGAGCTTTCCGGGTGCGTAGCTGTGCAGGCACAGCTCGTATTATATCGCTAGCAGGCTTCGGAGACTGACGCCCGCAGGGCTGAGTATGTAGCGTTTCAGTTTTGCACAGAGCTCGGGGGGGGGCAAAAGGGGCCCCTGTTTTGGACTACAGATCTCATAGCTGGCTGGAGGATTATGGGATCCGTAGTCCGCCCCCTGAGCATTTCTCAGCTCTGCTTTTCCCAGGATGTGCTTTTATTTCTTTTCTTTTTGAAATTCTGTTGGGAAGCCAAGGTCTCGCAGGGAACTGCTTCGGCCGTGAGCGAGAGGAGGTGGGGACGCAAAAGAGATCCCGTTTTCAGGCAGAAAGTGTTTCCAAGATTGCTCCTCCCTACCCCCAGGCATCCCTGGGAACCAGAACTGCGAATCTGTGGCCTTCCAGATGTTGATAGACTATAGTTCCCATCATCCTTTTTTACACCTTATTTGCTGGCCAAATCTTTTGAGTATGTTTATAATATTCTTAATTTTTTTTAAAAAAATTATGTTATGTTATGATGGTGATTCATTCCTTTTCGCCAGGCCGCGTCTGCTTTCTATGCCTTTCTCTTGCATTGAAGAGATTTTTGCTGTCCGAAGTGGTCAGAGACCCTTTGAGAAATGTCTTCAGAGCCGGGCCTGGCAGGAATGGAAGGGGAAGGGAGTCTAGATGAGAGAGACACTGAGGTCTGGAACCTTGGCGATTGACGTTTATGGTGCTCTACAAGAGGGCTGGAACCTCAGCTGCTTTCAGGAGAGAGTCAGTGGGGTCGATAAGTAGTACAGCCTGGAGAAGTTACTTTTGCAGAACCCTGACCATCCTCCCCAGCTATCCTTTGGGCCATGATTCCTGGGATCCTTCAGATGATAGGAACTGCAGATTTTTTTTTAAAGGACCTTTTCCAAATTCAGTTTTGTGCAAAAAAGGTGCGTCCTCTTGGACATCTCGGGATGCTTTTTTAAAAAAGATCCTGAACGAGGCATGTGGGAAACTGCAGAGTTTGGAAAATAGATACCGTATTTTTCCGTGTATAAGACTTATCTAAAATCTTTAGACTAAAAATTGAGGGTTGTCTTATATACAGAAGTAAGTTGAGGAGAGAACAAAAACAATTGGAGGGGAAAGCAGGGATCAAAGCGATCCTGCAGCGCTTTGATCCCTTTCCCCTTACACTTGCTAAACCCCACTTAGATTTCTTAATTTTGGATTAGAAAAATGGGGGCATCTTATAGTCTTATACATGGCAGCATCTTATACATGGAAAAATATGATATTTTTCTGATGAACTGCATGGCCACTCTTGGCTTGGGGAGGCTGGCATGTGTTATCCAAAAAAAGGAACTTTTCCAGACTTCTGGAGGCATTACCAAATAGGCAGGAATCCTTTTGGTCCAGAAATTGTTCGGAAGGGAGACAGGAAGACATGAGGGTCTGTTGAGGTTTTTTAATGGTTTTATTTATTCGCAAAGGCCTGTCATGAAAACGTTAACTCTTTGTAAGGCTGCCAAACTTTTATATCCTATATCAATAAAGCTAGAGTTGTTTCTGAGGTTCTTTCGCATTTCTGGACTGCCTTCAAATGTGTTGTGTTCAAAAATGTTCATTTGTGGTCGCCACGTTCCTGTTCAGGAGACCTGTGTTTCCCCCACATCTACAGGTGTGCAGAGTCACACCCGTCGTTTCCTCCGTCCCTAGTGGAAAGGGCTCACGTCTGGCCACGGGGGGGGGCGGGTGTTACAGCTCTTCTGCAAGCCAGGCGTGGGTTCAGTGTTTCCAATGGATTTGCAAACAGAAAGGATGGACGATGGAGTCTGGAGGCGGAAAAAGAGCTGAGTGTTAACAGAGCATCAAAAGTTAACCGGTTACAAGGGGGGTGTCATTCCTCATAGCATATGAATGAGAGTAAATGTATTACAGTGGTGCCTCGCTAGACAGTTACCCCACATGACAGTTTTTTCGCTAGACATTGACTTTTTGCGATCGCTATAGCGATTCGCAAAACAGTGATTGCTATGGGGGAATTTCGCTGGACAATGTTTGGTCCCTGCTTCGCAAACCGATTTTCGCTAGATGACAATTTTGACAGCTCCCTCCATGCTCACAAAACAGGTGTTTTCGGGACCTAAGCTTCGCAAGACAGCTGATCAGCGGTTCACAAAGCGGCTTTCCTATGGCCGATCTTTGCTAGCCAACGACGATTATTCCCCACTGGAACGCATTAAACAGGTTTCAATGCATTCCACTGGGAAATGCTTTTCGCTAGACGATGATTTCGCTAAATAGCGATTTCAGTGGAACTGATTATCATCGTCTAGCGAGGCACCACTGTAAATGTATTATTTCAAAGTGGGAGCAAATTAACTTTACTCGAGAAACAAGCTAGCAATGCTTCCTGGTTCCTTCTTTAAAACTGACTTTTAAGGGGCATTTTAAAACTTTGTTTTAAAAAAAAACTTTGAAAGGTTTGGGGGTTTTTTTTGGATTTTTTGCTGTTTCCTCGTGGATGGCAGGATTCCCCCCCTCCCAAAAAAAGAGGTAATGCAAAAACCTCAAAATAAAAGAACTAGAAATGCAGTGAACAATAAAACAAGTCCTTTTAAAAAAACTTTGGAACAAATAATGACAATAGCAATTTCCGTTTCACAGAACAAGTGGCAGAACACCCTTCCGAACTCTGACTAAGAGCAATGTGGAGTCTTCTGCTGATTTTAATCCGGGGGGGGCAGTTTTAGAAATAATGTTTTATTTCTTATGGAAATGGTTAGAGATGTTTCAGTATGACAACCATCTCCCCAGACAAGTTTCAGTGAGAGGCGAAGAAGCAGAAAAGGACTTTCCATTTTTATTTTTATTTGTTTGGTGTTGCATGAACATGCCACCTTTCCTAGCCATGAGCTCAAGATGGCATATCTGCCTCTCTCCTCCCCCCACTCCCCATTCCTGGTATTCTAACAACAGCCCAGTGAGGTAGGCCGGACGGGAGATCTTTATGGCTAAGCAGAGATTTGAACTCTGCAGTCCCTACGTGTTCAAAAGGGATTCAGAGACAAGACACTAGATTTTTTTTCCCTTGCTGCTTTTTGGGTGGCAGAGATGGAAAAATTTGCGACAAGTGATTGTCTCCGGTTGTGGGGCAGGATTTCACCTTTTTTAGGCTACAAACCAAACACATGCACACAGTTGCCGCCCAGCTTTCTGCGCTGGGGAAAAGACTTCCTGAGGATTATACTTTCTCCGAAAAAAGAAAGGCTGCTCCAACACACCCTGGCTGGGGCTTCCTGGCTCTACAAAACACGGCCAGCAGATGCATCCTGCTTTCCTCACACCCACTACGGCCAGATCACCACCCAGACTCAGATTTTCCTCCCTTCTGCTGGTTCCAGATGTCAGGGGGTCGGTGTGTGTGTGTGTGTGTGACCTAGAGGCGGTAGAGAAGGACCTTGCAAATTCTGCACCTCAAATCTAGAACTCCCTGTTGTCGTTCAGAGCTGGCCGGGGGGATTCTGAGAAAGAGAGAGAGAGAGAGAGAGTCTACCGTTGCAGCTTTCCTGAAATCTGAACTAGTTTCTCTTCCGCAAAGGGAAGACAATGAAATTTTTATTTTTCCCCCCATCTTGAACCATATTACTATTGTTGCTTTTTATTTTATTATACTGTTTTCATTCTATTTTTACCGTTAGCCGCCGCCCAGAGTAGACTTGTGTCTACGATTGGCGGGGTATAAATTTAATAATATTTTTTTTAAAAATCAAGACTTTTTCCAGCCCAGTGCAGGCAGCTGGCCTGTATTGCTGATGTTGTTGTTAAAAAATAAATAAATAGCTGGCACAGTCAATCAACATTGACTTGTATTCTGTAACACATACAGGTTTTTAACCAAAAACCTAAGTCTCTGCTAAAGATTGGCACAGTACGTGTGCTGTTCCTAATACTGGCATAAATTTTGGAGCTGTGATGGTTGTTATTGTCCTCAAAATGTGTATCTACAGGGCAGTGTGGGTCTGGGGATTGATTAAAGCTTGAGTTTTTAGTGCCACCTCGTGGCTCAACCTGGTTCACCACAGCCCTCCATCTCTCCCTCCCTCTCTCTGTTTTCATCCAGGCAATGCTGGAAGGGTTGCCAGGAAAAAAAAAACAGCCTTTGATCCGGTTGCTTTAGAACAACCCAGGCCTCTTCTTGTCATTTTTCCTGCTGTGATATTTTTAACAGAAGCATAGCAACCCATTTCCCAGGGCTGAAGCTGGTGGGGGGGGGCAGAGAGAGGAGCAGGAGATCCAGATAAAACGGAGAAGAGGGGGGGAAAAGAGTGAACTCATGGTTCGGTGTATTTCGGCCCACCATGGCGCCCAGAAACAAACCAGAAATGTCAACTAGATTCTGCACCGCCAGATATCCAAGGAATGGCAGTTTGGTCATAAAAGCACTGCAACGCCAGCCACCATTTCTACGCTCCCTCTGCGTAGGTTTGCTCGGCTTCCCCTTTTAAGAAAGGTCCGGGCCCCGCCGTACATGGAGAAAGATGCTAAATACAGGGTGCACGAGCATGATGCACAGAAGGCTGTAAACTCGGTCCTGCAAAATCACATCTGGGGATTAAGGGGGAAATAACTCAGTGTCGAAATACAGCCTTTCCCACTCTTCTGCCTTCCAGATGTGTTGGGATGTGAACAATGGACGTGCCGGCCATCAAAGCATCCAGGGGCGTCAACTCTGTGAGCCCAGGTTCCACCACACCGCCCGCGGTAGCATCGTCTCATTTCCGGCATCTGGAAGACGGAGGCAGAGCTGGTGGACTGAGCTGGCCACGTTGGTATCGCTTCGTCTTCTGAAATGGTTAATCGCTTTGCTGTTAGCCCCCCCCCCCC